CAATCTTGGGTTATCAAAGCCCCTGACTGATGGCTTGCCAGGATGATATTTTTAACAACTCGGGTTATCGTCGTCACGTGATGAGTATAGAGGTTCCTGTCACCAGTCTGCCGCGAACCGCTTCGGACCTCAATATAGGTACTTGCTATCGGAATGTTCAGAAAATGTGATTTCAGGCTTTATCCATCAACATGATAGTGCTGCGGCATATTTACGATATTGATGAGACATCGGTGTTGTCTTACTTCTAACAGTAGCGTTTTACTAGCTTTTACATTGTGAAAATGGTATGATTATCATAATTTTTTGTGCGTTACATTTTCTTCGCGAAATCTAAAGATATGTACACCAGTCGTGAAGATTGATATTATATTAAAATTCTGTTTTCGAATCTTTCGAAAACTGTTCATAGTTATTATGAGCTAGTCGCATTTTTTTAAATAAAGTTCAATGTCAAGGAGAATAGTTTCGTGTAAACAAGGTAAACTGGAAATGAAACTTGTTATACGTTGCAAACAAATTATAGATGTCTGATAACATTTCTCATTGAATAAAATTGCCTTGTGTCCTTTCGATATACAACATTATGAACTGAAATTCATTTCACTAGTTGTGTTAAAAGAATGTGTCAAGTGTTTGAGAGTCAAGTCCATTTCAGTTGATATTTTACAATATGATCTTACTTGCATGTCAGTCTAACAATATCTTTCAATTCAAATTGAAAAGAAAGGAAAAAAAGTTTTTGGCCTTCTACCATCTTGATACAAAAAATGTGGTGGCAATCTTCCAAACGAATGTTTGGAATACAAACAGAATAGAGAAAAGTATTTTTCGTATAATTCAACGTTCATATAAAAGTATTTGTTTCGAANCAACTCTCAGAAGTTGAGAAACTTGTGCGAGGACTAGCGAGGTCTTTCCTTTCAACGTGTGATTCCTAATATCATGGACAAACACTTATGAACCAAAACATTTCTCTTCGCATGGAAAAAATCACTAATATTTCCAATTAATAAAATATCAATATTTCACCAACAGTTTCGATACTATAAAAATTAGGAATCTACTAAACATAAAGGGAGAGCAGGACGCTCTCAAAACATAATACAGTAGTTTATAAAAAAGAAAACAACCATGTTTCGAGAATAGATAACAGGAGCAGGTGGCCAACTCCTGAAAGATGACACAGATTATAGACACCACAAAAAAAACAAAGCTCACAATACGCTGTTTCTGTACAGAAGTCAATGAGGATAAAAATGGATTCTGGTAACGAAAAAAAACTCAAAAATTGTCGCGCTAAGAAAACCTGTCACTAGATATGATTCTGAAGAAGAGACCTGAGACCACAGACAAGAAAATAAATAGTCAGATGGAAGACTATGGCTTGAAGCTGATTCGCAGTTATTCCAAGAATGGAGTAATGTGTAATTATGGAATTTTATTGGGTTCAGTGGGATTATTAGATGGACTATCGTATCACTCGACCAGACGAAGATAAGTTACCAACAGATATGGGGAACAAACTTCATAGTAGGAGAAGGAATGGTGCAAAACATGAGACTTCTGTACTTCGATGAAAAGAGAAAATCAGATACAGGAAAAATCCATAAATTCAGAACACCACCCTTTCATATTCCTAGGAACGGTATAAAGAAGCAATCCAAACAAAAAAGTTACGAATAAAGAGTTGAAGATATTATGTGTTCATATCAACCCTTGAGGGAAAGAAAGATATGTTTCACACTACGAGTATAGAGAAGTTCCTTACTTGTAGCCAAGAAAATAATAGACTTCGTGTTTTATTGCATCCAACTGAGGTCAAATAGCAAACCGTTGCGTATTATCAGCATAAAAGTGTATTGATTGATGCCAGAGACGGTTAAAAAAATTTGAGGTATACATGGTATGTCAAAGTGGTCCTAATATAGAAAGAACCTTTTGCCACCCCTGAAGACAACTCAAGAGACCTTGAGGGCGAACTGTCAATTCCAACTCTTTGAGATCTCAGATTAGTAACTGTCAAAAAATACAATAATACTTTCATGTAACCCAGTGAAATGTAAAATAGATATTATGGTCGAAAGTATCGAATGCTTAATAGTAATCTAAGAGTATCAGGAGATTGATTTCGTTAGATTCGTGATCCTCAATCATATCGTCAGTTATATCTGTGGATTATGTTTCATAACTGAGGATCGGTCTGAAATGAGATTGTTTTTTGGACAACAGCCTGCCTGATTATTTTTCCTGTAATTTTCGAAACCGTGAGTACTTTCAGAAAAAGTAGTCGTTGAAAAACAACTGTTACGAATGTTGTAGTATTTGGGGTAACAGTATTTGATAAGGTTCAAATTCAAGCCATCGGTTTCTCGAAATTTCTAATTTCATTGGTACAAATTCGATTAGGTTATCCTTTTTAGTTACATCAGAATTAACAAACAAGTTACTCAGGATGATAGGAGCGAGAGCTTCTCAATTCCTTAACTCCTGATCCAACAACTGAACCTTAAAAAAAAGGTTTGGTGGTGCAGCCAGAAAACGACTGAGTCATCTCCTCAAGAGCGGGGTACCTTTTACAACCGCTATGAACCAAATTCTCGAGCGGCGTACGCAGAATCTGTCTCAGGTGGGGAAACAAACCCCCCATGAGCAGGTTAGCAAACGTTTGCGCTCAAGTGATGATTCACCAGAACCAGAGGCTAAAAAGCGTTGCACGGCTGAATCTAAGGCATCGTTAGGTGTAGCTGACGTGCAAAAACCCTCATATGAGAAGGTTGTCGTGTGTATCAAGGTGGGAATCTTGCAACTTGACTAATCGACTACCTCATTAACAGAGCATATACTTTGTGCCTGCCACACTGGGGACCGAATCAGGTCTTTAGAGTTCGGCAGAGCCGTACTCTTACCATCTGACCTGAAATACCACTCATCATACAAACTAATCGGCTTCGTTAAGAAGCTGGGTTTATTTGGCTAAGTGTGAATAGGTGTGAGCCACAATGAATCCTTGTGGGTTGCGGTGGAGTGTCGAATAGACCTAACCTAACTAACCTACCCAGGATGGGGTAATTCGAAAAGAGGGACAATGTTCAAAGCCACCTCATAGGCCACGCATCTGGACTCAGTCTGTGCAAATCAACAGCAGCAATAGCATCAAAAGTATACAAGTGAAATAACTGTAAAGCGGTATTTATGTACCTACAAGTCTTCTAATTCGTATATTTCTAGTCCATGGAAAAAGTTGTCAATATGAGTATTTCACTCTTTGAAAAAAATGCATTTATTAATTCAATAAAAGTTGATATAAAGGAATGAACTTTAAATGTTCAAGCCTGTCTCGGATATACCTACAAGTATGTTGAATGGACTGACGCTTATCAGACTATTCCACTGGCTAATACCACGAACGGCGTTGGATTATATCCGACAGGCATCAGTGCAGGAATTTTCACAGAAAATTGTCTGCATATGCAATTGGCAATACAACTGAAAGAGTTGACCTTCAATTTTGGAACGGGAACACTTACAGACCGGTTTCGGGTTTCTTAGCCACTCGTCAGTGCAAGATAGTGACCATCATCGACCTAAAGTCAATGATATTCCATAATTGGAAATCGAAATTCTTCCAGAGTACCTATTTCATTTCTCATCCTAAGTTGGAGCGAACAACAAATGTCAAATGTATATCGGAGGTATATCCGAGACCGGCTTGAACATTTGAAGTTCATTTCTTCATATTTATTTAATGTCTGTCTTCAAGCATACCCCACTGACTAATAAGACAGTAACATTTGGTAATTGGTGAATGTTTCACTTGTTTATAGAGAATATTGATATAAAAACAATAAAGATGACACTCACCTGAATTTCCAACTCCTCCAAAGGGTAAGCCGTCGGCGATAAAATGCATAATAACATCATTGATAACGACTCCCCCACTAGAAGTATTCTCTAGGAAAGCTTTTTTAACACTATTTTTGGTAGTGAAAATATACAACGCAAGAGGTTTTTCTCTTTCATTGATGAATCTAATCGCTTCTTCTTTATCGTTCACATTAACGATGGGCAAAATTGGACCAAAAATTTCTTCTTGCATGATGGGATCCTCGGGTTTAACGTCTACCAGAACTGTTGGCTCGATAAGTAGATCTTCTTCATCAGTATGCCCTCCTACAGCTATCTTTTGATTTTTCATCAAATTACAAAGTCGGGCAAAATGCCTCTTCGAAATTATTCGTCCATAGGATTTGCTGCTCTTTACATAACCTAGAAATTATAAAAGTATCAAGATGATGGAGTAGTAGAAAGCCAAAAACTTCCTTTCCCAAAAAATGAATTATCACTTTGATAAATAATTCTTGCACTACAACAAAAGGTTGAAAATTGATCGTTTTTCTCCTGGTTATAATTGAAGAAGCAACTATCACTATACTCAGGGTCATTGAAAAATATAAAGACGTCATGGTCACATTTTTGTCGTTTATCAAAGAGGATCAGAGGAGATATGGAAGAAACTTTTTAAACTATTCATTAGCAGATAGAGGTTTCGAGGCATATATTCCATCAGAAATAGTAAACCTGCCAAATTAATTTCCAAAGAGGAAGAACCATCATGAAGATGGGTGAAAAAATGTCTGAAATCAGTGTGATTCAACCTCACTAAGAATCTTTGAAAAATATTATGGATATATAAGCTGATAGATTGAATTTTCGAGTATACAAATATTTTTCAGTGGAACTGGCTATACAATATTTTGTGAAAGTTGAAGATAATGAAATATTGAAAGGCAAAGAAACTATCGATACTCGTGTTGAAGTTCACAATGATGGGTTCAAAAAAGACTGAAATGGACAATCTCTGGCAGATCTAGTTGATAGACCAAGAAAATTCTTTGCCATATATGGATTTCAAAACATCGAACGTACCCTGAAAAAACTCTTCCAGTGCCTTCTCAATATAATCGATGAGTTCTTCTTGTACACTTTTGGAACATAACACATAATCAGGAGCAATACATATTTGGCCTGCATTCTGAGTCTTTCCCCAAATGATCCTTCTTGCTGCCAACTTCAAGTTAGCTGAACTGTCAACATATACAGGACTTTTTCCTCCAAGTTCAAGAGTAACAGGGGTTAGATTTTTAGTCGCTACTTGATGAAAAATTTTTCCTACCTGCAAAATATATTGTAATCAATTTTAGTGAATAGTTACTTTGGAGACAATAATAATTGCAATTCACGTACATGATTTGAACTATTGGTATTCATATTGCATAATAAAAATTCAGAAGTATTCAAAACTTTTTTTTGGTATTCCTTCTTTGGATAATTCTGGTTTGCGATCATTTCATCTCTAAATTGAGTTTCCGGAATATTACTGGAGTTTTTCCCAACACCGAATCATTATTTTTAATACCTCGACAAGTGATAATCTTCAAGAGGAAGATTGAACTTTAATCTTCCTTTCAAAAATAATCACTTGGTGATCAGAACACGTATCGAGATGTTAAAAATAACGATTTGATGTTGGAAAGAAAACTCCTGTAGTATTCATTACTACACCAAAGATTCCATACAGTGCATCATAAGAGTTTCCGGAGTAATTTATAGTGATTTGGAGTTTATTTTTCGTGACCCTACAGAGAAATAATTTTCAATAAGTTAGCATAACTTTTCCAATTTTTTTTCTTTTTTTTTCCCCTTCGATCCTTCTGAGTAAGGAAAGAATAGAACAGAGAAAGCGAGTCTCGTTTCTATAAATTATCCTTGTAAGTTATTATCGATCATGATAAAATCTTTTTTGCATCACATTTTGTCATTTTTGATGTCTTAATTTGCTTCCTTGAGTATTGAAATCCTATCTTGGATATACCTACCTCTTCTTTACTGATAGTTTATTCTTCTTGGAACTGTTACTCGCTGAATTCTGTGTTCTCATTGTATTTTGTATATATAAATCACTCATTGTTTCCCATAAAAAATATATCAAAGTTCAGAATCATCATAAGCTAAGAATGCTGCAGTTTTCGATCTTGGAAAAAATATTACTTTGTTCATCTTCTGATCATTTCCTAACAGAAGTTTGCAGTTGCAAATGATCAACGCCCAACAAACAAACTCAAAAGTTGCTCCAAAACTGTTTTTAAAAAATACTATTCGAATGTATATCGAAGCCGCCAGAAAAGTATCGAACACGAGGATTGATGACTACAATGGAACATCGATCAATAGAAAGTCTTGAAATAAATGAAATCCTTCAGATAAATGCACCAAGGTTCACTGAATCATAAAATCCGATCAAGTCAACAGACATACAAGAATCTTGTATGACCGGAATGAATCAGGGATTACCGAAAAAATATGTTGACCCATAATATCAAAATGAAAAACAAATGTATTTCACCTGTGGCGATCCAGTATAAAATATGTAGTCAAATTTTTCTTTCAACAGTTCTGTGGTCTCCTCCACCCCTCCAAGGTAAACAGGATAGCAGTTACTATCTAAATATTTTGGAAGCAAGGTTGCTAGGGCATTGGCGGTTGCGGGGGCAATTTCTGAGGGCTTTATGACAACGCAATTTCCAGCTGCNGATCTTTATTACGCCAAAGTACCGTAGTATCATCTGCAAACAAGGTAAATGCTTCAGATATATCAAGTTTTGTCGTATCGTTAATCTATAAAATAAAATTGGGCCTAGGATTGACCCCTGAGGAACTCCGCGTACAATTCCACTGTCAGAAGTGTTATTTTTTGACTTCTACCAGTAACATAAGATCTGAACCATTCCAAGGCTATTCCCCGGATTCCATAATGGAAGAGTTTTTGCAACAGGAGTTCATGTTCCACGCAATCAAATGCCTTAGAAAGGTCCAGAAATACTACCGCCACCACTTCTTTATTTTTAGAGTCGTGTAGACGTTTTCGAGACAATGAAAGATGGCGTCATTGGTGTTTTTTTTTGGTGTCGGAAGCCAAACTGTACGGGAGCTACAATTTTATGTTTTTCCAAGAAACCCACTATCCTTCTTTTGACTATTTTTTCAATGATATTTGATAACGTTGATAAAATTGAGATCAGTCTGAAATTGCTATGGTCATCAATGGCACCTTCTTTGTAAAGCATATTACTTTTGCTGATTTCACACTTGAAGGAAACGCACCAGAACAAAACGACGAGTTTATTTTATAGCTATTACTAAAGCGTGAAGAGCTTCATCAGGCAATTGTAAAAACAACTTTGCTGATAAGTTGTCTTCACCAGCAGAATTTTTGTTTTAATTTCTTTTATTACCAACTTCAGCTCACTCAAATCTGTGTTACAAAAACAAGGAATTCATAGGAGAGTTACCTTACTCAAATTTTGAAGCGGGTCAACTGTTGGAATGATGTCGTTGGTTAACTTTGAGGCTACTGAACATAAATAATCATTTAACTGATTTGGATTTACCTTTATTTTCGGATGATTATGTTTGTTATTTCCTCTCAAGTCATTCACTATTGCCCACATTTCGTTTTGTTTATTTTCTGCTTCATTCAGTCTATTATTAAAATAGTGATCTTTGGATAGTTTAATAGTTTGTCTGTAGATACGACGGTATGTAGGCATCTAGGCACTTAAGATTTTTTGAAGAAGTTTAATGTCTTTTAGTAATCCAAGGTTTGGATTTTTTCCATTTCATCAAGCACAGGGGAAAGGCCTTGCCTAATTTTTCACAGACAAGTTTCTGAAATTCATTCACCGGATCTGCTGCCCCATATATAAAATTCCCATCTGTGGTTTGACAGTTATTTTAAAATTGAACATAATTTTTTCTGCAATATCCATACAGTTTACCCTGGTGTATGTTTTTATGTCTGAGAATGTTCGGGATGAGACAAAGAATAGCCTCGTGATATGGTGTACTAATATGCCCACGTTTACCCGAGCATATTACATCGTTTTTATAACAATCTCCACTGAGGGCCAGATCAAATGTAACTTCTTTCATAAAATACATCCCTGACTACCTCTGTTGCTTACTTCAGTTAATATTAACGGGACTCAATGAATCAGTTTTACAACGCTGATCATCTTCCTAAAAGGTAAAGCGATATTAAACGTTAGTTTCAGTAATATCAGTTGTTGGAAATACCACTTTGAAAAACCGTGCAATTTTATTGCAATGTATATATTCAATGAGAAGATATCTACTACATCTGAAAGTATCGGAAGTATACAGTAAATAGAAAATGTATCATCGGTCTTTCAAATTGCGTTTTCTACATCCTTCATTTTAGAAGAATGGTTGTGGCTCGCAATGAATTACTAATACATTGGTATAAGTAGTTGAAATTCGAAAAAACTAAAAAGTTTATCATATACTATCTAGAAAATTTGTATAAAACGTGGTGCCGGTCTGAGCTTATGTTTTTATGTTTCGATGGGTATTTATCTTATTGTTACATGGTGTCGTAAAAATAAGCTATCTCTCAACATATCCAAATGTGATGTAATGTCTGAAAACGAACTTGAATTCACACAACTACGTCATAAACAATCAAGTTCTGGAGCGTCCTGACACACTCACTGATCTAGGTGTTACTTTCGATTCATCCCTCTCTTTCAATAAACATATTGACACGAGTCTAACAGCAGCTTATCGTATGTATGGATTCTTAGTTACAAATACAAAAGACTTGGAAAAAGCTTCAACATTGAAATTACTTTATTTCACTTTTGTTCGATCCAGGCTGGAATCCAGTGTGGAGTCCGTACTATCAGGTTCATATAAACCAACTAGAATCCCTACAGAGACGCTTCCTAAAATATATGTCTTTCAAACTCAATTGAAGGTACGTATTCTACTGCAGGAATACCCTATTATGAATTGCTTGTAACTCACAATTTTCGTAGTTTTGAGGTAAGGCGTAAATATTATTTATTCATTTTTTTTTATTTAAGGTCATAAACAATATCATAACCTGCTCTCAACTGTTACATTTGTTGAATTTTGGGTTCCTAGATGGTCATCTAGGAATAGTATCACATTTTATCTCAACACTCCACGTACAAATATAATGAATAAATCTTCAATTCATACAATGTGCTAGATATATTCAACTGCCAGATTATACAAATCAAAAGACATTTCGTAGCAAACTGACAATTCTGTTTTAATTTTTTTATATAGATTCACAAATTATATTATGTAAGTATACATATATTTGTAAATGCCACTGTTACTCCCTATTCTGTAATTGGTTGAAAATTTTGATTCTTTGGAAATATTGTAGTCGTAATTCTTAAAGGAAAATAAAGATGAATAGAGAAAATAAGCCATTACTATCTCCTTATGAGTATGCAACTCAAATAATCGAAATCAGACACAGTCATTAACGATTGACATTGAGGTAACACATCTGTAACATTCAAAAAAATCAAATAAACACGAAACACAGGTTTTTTCATCCATCCTTCATAGGAGCAAACGAAAACAATTATTATCGCACTGGCTGAATTCGAAACTGAGGACAAACTCCAAAGGTCACCAGTTCCCAACCAATAATACAGATTCTTGTACTATAGAAAAAAAATTTTGATCCTTTATTATCAGTCCCCTGGTGACATACAAAAAAACTTTTGCAGGAATAGCAAAACAGAAGGTGAATTCTAGGTAATTGAACTAATCGAGACTGACAACTTATGCTGCTCCATTCTTATAGAACACCACAAATTGACATTAGAATAATAATCATGTCCAAAATATGAATTTCACTTGTGAATGATTCAATGACGAACACGGCTACTCAATACCTGAACATTCTAATCATGTAATAGGAAAGTTATATACTCATAATGAATTACATGACATGTATAAATCTCTTATATCAAGCAAAGATTATGGAGCCTATTCAGCAAGTCATTATTCATTTATCATCAGAATGAATGTTGGTGAACTCACCTACTACTGGTGCGAGGACAAGCAGAAGAGGGTAGTTCCAAGCTCCTACAACAAGCACCACACCATAAGGATCATTGTAAATATACAAGTCATCAAAAAAATTGGCTGCAGTTTTTTTCACACGCTCGGGTGCACTCCAGCTCTTCAAATTCTTCAGACAATCATTCAAGTCCTTCTCTAAAACCCCAACTTCGTGCGCTATGCATTCCTGAATAGGTTTCTTCAAATCTTTTTGCAAGACGTCGCAGAGAGTTTCTTCTTCATTCTTCAAAAATCTTAACAGGTTCTTCAGCTGTTGTCGGCGATAAGGGACCGGTTTGGTTTGTCCGCTTTTGAAAGCTGCTCGTGCAGTTTCAACGATCTGCGTAGCTGTTCGTTTTCCATTTTCCACGTTTATGATGCAGGTTTGCACGTTCTTTGAATCTTCGTTCATGATTGCTTAGCGGTGGATCTTCTACTGTTTACATTTATGCGAATACGTGCGGAGAGGACTCGAGAACGTATCAAATGTAGTTGGCCTTGCTGCAAACGAGCAAGTTCAAGTCATCATTTTTAATTAATACTGGCCTGGAAGGCAATGAGGCTTCTGACTATCTTGCAAAGGTGGGTGCTGCAAGCAGCTTCAAAGGATCAGAACCTGTCATTGGCATCGCTTCAGGCTTTGCTAAACAAAAATTGAACACCTGGATGGCAAGAAGAGGTATGGACTTCTAGCAGAACCTTCCAGGATTGGCTCACTCCAAGGCGTTTGTTCACCCTTCGAAGCTTGATACCAAAGAGTTGTTGGACTACAGTAGGGATGAACTACGATGTCTAACAGACCTTCTTAGAGATTACAGTCATGCAAATTATCATAAGCAGAGACTAGAACTGTCGTAAAACAGTGTGTGTCGTCTCTGTTTGGAAAATGATGAAACAGCAGAGCACATACTTTGTGCCTGCCTCGCTGGGGACCCAATCAGGTTTCTAGAGTTCGGCAGAGCCGTACTTTTGACATCTGACCTGAAAGACCATTCACCATACAAACTAATCGGCTTCGTTAAGAAGCTGGATTTATTTGGTCGATTGTGAATAGGTGTGATAAAAAATAAACCTTTCGGGTTGCGGTGGAGGGTAGAATAGACCCACTCACTTTGGACCTAACCTAAACTAACCTATAAGGCTATATATTTGTGAAGCATCAGGAAATAGAAGATGATCGCATGCCTGTTCAAATGAGAAGTAATAATTAAAACTATCGAATACTTTTTGAATCTCGGTGTAAACCACACCAACAAGAATTTCGGAAATGACTTGCGTTATGCAAGGTGATTAGAATACATGAAGGAAAAGTTCGTCTGATATAGCTATTGTTCAGACGGGTTCAGATCTTGTTTCTGTTATAACCTATATCTGTTTAAATCTGTCTGTTTAAAATCTGTTTTTCCGTTAATCAGCTGTCGCCCCCATGCGAACGACAACTCTCAGAAGTTGAGAAACTTGTGCGAGGACTAGCGAGGTCTTTCCTTTCAACGTGTGATTCCTAATATCATGGACAAACACTTATGAACCAAAACATTTCTCTTCGCATGGAAAAAATCACTAATATTTCCAATTAATAAAATATCAATATTTCACCAACAGTTTCGATACTATAAAAATTAGGAATCTACTAAACATAAAGGGAGAGCAGGACGCTCTCAAAACATAATACAGTAGTTTATAAAAAAGAAAACAACCATGTTTCGAGAATAGATAACAGGAGCAGGTGGCCAACTCCTGAAAGATGACACAGATTATAGACACCACAAAAAAAACAAAGCTCACAATACGCTGTTTCTGTACAGAAGTCAATGAGGATAAAAATGGATTCTGGTAACGAAAAAAAACTCAAAAATTGTCGCGCTAAGAAAACCTGTCACTAGATATGATTCTGAAGAAGAGACCTGAGACCACAGACAAGAAAATAAATAGTCAGATGGAAGACTATGGCTTGAAGCTGATTCGCAGTTATTCCAAGAATGGAGTAATGTGTAATTATGGAATTTTATTGGGTTCAGTGGGATTATTAGATGGACTATCGTATCACTCGACCAGACGAAGATAAGTTACCAACAGATATGGGGAACAAACTTCATAGTAGGAGAAGGAATGGTGCAAAACATGAGACTTCTGTACTTCGATGAAAAGAGAAAATCAGATACAGGAAAAATCCATAAATTCAGAACACCACCCTTTCATATTCCTAGGAACGGTATAAAGAAGCAATCCAAACAAAAAAGTTACGAATAAAGAGTTGAAGATATTATGTGTTCATATCAACCCTTGAGGGAAAGAAGCATAAAAGTGTATTGATTGATGCCAGAGACGGTAAAAAAATTTGAGGTATACATGGTATGTCAAAGTGGTCCTAATATAGAAAGAACCTTTTGCCACCCCCGAAGACAACTCAAGAGACCTTGAGGGCGAACTGTCAATTCCAACTCTTTGAGATCTCAGATTAGTAACTGTCAAAAAATACAATAATACTTTCATGTAACCCAGTGAAATGTAAAATAGATATTATGGTCGAAAGTATCGAATGCTTAATAGTAATCTAAGAGTATCAGGAGATTGATTTCGTTAGATTCGTGATCCTCAATCATATCGTCAGTTATATCTGTGGATTATGTTTCATAACTGAGGATCGGTCTGAAATGAGATTGTTTTTTGGACAACAGCCTGCCTGATTATTTTTCCTGTAATTTTCGAAACCGTGAGTACTTTCAGAAAAAGTAGTCGTTGAAAAACAACTGTTACGAATGTTGTAGTATTTGGGGTAACAGTATTTGATAAGGTTCAAATTCAAGCCATCGGTTTCTCGAAATTTCTAATTTCATTGGTNGTTTTGCCATATATGGATTTCAAAACATCGAACGTACCCTGAAAAAACTCTTCCAGTGCCTTCTCAATATAATCGATGAGTTCTTCTTGTACACTTTTGGAACATAACACATAATCAGGAGCAATACATATTTGGCCTGCATTCTGAGTCTTTCCCCTTATCAATATGTGTAAAATGCTTTCTTGTTCATACTGTTTAAAAACATAATTGATCCCTCATTTCATTATTATCCTCGGAATAATGAAGAATTCTTCAAGATAATGATAATGAAAGCACATGATTTTTGAACCCAATGATCATTTACCTCACCGGGTAGGGGGTGATCATTGGTTGATGAGGATAGGCGCTATCCCGAATGTATCGGGGCTTCAGGAACATGGTCCGACTAGTTTCACTATCGGGGGAAATGATAATAATGTCATGGATCTCTATGGCATGGATCAATTACACAAGGCATCAGATACAACATCACATGAACTCATTTTGCACTTGCTTATATGGCTTGCGATACCCAATATAGTAGTGAGATGCCTCATACAACAGATCACTCTGGCGGACTCATTTCACCATAACATCTAGTCTAGTTAGGATCCAGACAGGATGGGGTGCTTTCAGAAGAGGTTCATTTCAGTGATATTCACTCAATCCGTTTCTCTTCTGCATCTCACCACCGTGAGTATCCGTTGTGCTCATATTTACTCGAGGGTGGCGTTTCCAAAAACCCGGGGCATGAAGTTATCATTCATTCGTTTTATATGGATGACCTTGAGCTGGAAACAGGATGCCAGAGAGACGTATACTTCCCCCGATGCCTTCGAGTTCGAACAACGCCACAAATAAAAGGTAACCTCAGTGAAGAAATCTCTTGGCGGCAAGTATCAGCACCAACTATGATAGATTTTGTCGTTGGACCAGAGAGGAACAAAGTTGCTGCAACGAATATGCTTTCCGTTCCGATCTTACTCTACTACATTGGGGTAGTAAAGTGGACTCGAGACAAGCTGTACCACCTTGTCGTGAAGATCCGAAAAATGATGCATCTTCTCAGGAGTTTGTATCCCAAATCTTCCGTTCCATGGTTGTATATCCTTCGACAACAGTATCTGAGATAATGATAATGGATGAAGTCTTTGGTGTCAACAAAAGTCGGATCCCCTTCTCTGCATGGGTCGTGATCATGAGGGAACAGAAATTGAATAATTTCTCTTCGAGGCAGCTCTTTGAGCGGCTGATGAACTTGCTTCAGTTTTCAATTCTGAATGAGGTGACCACAACTATCCCATAACGTTGGAACCTATTTAGCAAAAGGCCTACATAAAAGCCTAACCGGATGTAGGGGATCCTTTTCAATCTTGGGTTATCAAAGCCCCTGACTGATGGCTTGCCAGGATGATATTTTTAACAACTCGGGTTATCGTCGTCACGTGATGAGTATAGAGGTTTCTGTCACCAGTCTACTGCGAGCCGCTTCGGACTTTAATATAGCTAATATACTTGTTATCGGAATGTTCAGCAAATGCGATTTCAGCCTTTATCCATCGACATGGCAGTGATGCGGCATATTTACGATATTGATGAGACATCGGTATTGTCTTACTTCTAACAGTAGCTTCATCAGTTGGACTGGTCCAACTGATGAAGCTACAAAAGCTAGTAAAACGCGTTTTAAATAAAATTCATTGTGAAAATGGTATAATTATTATAATGTTTTGTGCGTTAGATTTTCTTCGCGAAATCTAACGATATGTACACCAGTCGTGAAGATTGATATTATATTAGAATTCTGTTTTCGAATCTTTCGAAAACTGTTCATAGCTATTATGAGCTAGTCGCATTTTTTTTAATAAAGTTCAATGTCAAGGACAATAGTTTCGTGTAAACAAGGTAAACTGGAAATGAAACTTGTTATACGTTGCAAACAAATTATAGATGTCTAATAACATTTCTCATTGAATAAAATTGCCTTGTGTCCTTTCGATATACAACATTATGAACTGAAATTCATTTCACTAGTTTAGTTAAAAGAATGTGTCAAGTGTTTGAGAGTCAAGTCCATTTCAGTTGACATTTTACAATATGATCTTATTTGCATGTCAGTCTAACAATATCTTCCAATTCAAATTGAAAAGAAAAGAAAAGAAAGAAAGTTTTTGGCCTTCTACCATCTTGATACAAAAAATGTGATGGCAATCTTCCAAACGAATGTTTGGAATACAAACAGAATAGAGAAAAGTATTTTTCGTATAATTCAACGTTCATATAAAAGTATTTGTTTCGAAAGCATTTTTCTTTCATGTAATGTTTATATGAAAATAGCTGTTACGAGATAGTTTTCTCTTCCAGTTTGTGTCTGAAAGTTACTTCTTTGCATGATCTCCACATCTTCGTATAAAGTTGATTTTTTGAAATTGATTCCTTCCTTTCTTTGGAAGATTCCCACATTTTTTGTATCAAGATGAAGAAGTAAAAGGCCGAAAACTTTCTTTTCCATATTTCAATTCATACTAACTGATTTTCAAAGGCACAAAGTCTAATCAATATTTATATATATTTGTGCAAAAAATTATCGATAAATAACAGAATATACTTCATAAAATGAATTCCTTCGAAAATGATAACAATAATCATCATACTTTTGCTTTCTACAGGTAAACAAAAAATTCGAAGATGATAT